GCTTATGCATGGGTAGAGTATATAATACTGAGATGCAAAAGTCAAGATGCCACTAAGAGATACACCAGTAGTTTGTTAAACCATGATTGATCATAATGAAACGTACTATAATGCTGCAGTTTAATGGATAACATTCATCGCTTGTCTCACTAAGGTGGATGGTTGCAATATTTTAACTCGACTGTTATAGAATCGAGTTTACAAGGAATGAAAATAAAATGAGTAAATGACAGTAAGAAATCAGCTTAATGGCCTTAATAAAAGTAATTACTGTATTACTTCATAGGATTACTTTAAAAATCGAAACATTTATAATCAGTGTCAGGGAAATGAACAACATCAATTCATAGATGCAGTATTAGAGATACCAGAAGATCATATAGATGATCAGATTTTACAGTAGGTCGGTTTTTATTCGTGGACTGAGTAATAGATTACACAGAGATAATACAAATTTCTCCCAACACAATACATCATAGAGAGTCAGGATTAAGTACATAGAGGGATATGTCAATGTTAGATACTATACTCGAGATTTATTTACAAAATACAGTAATTGAAGTAAAAGTTGGCTCAATTGAAAATAGTTTTAGCAGATATCATGTCTTTTTTATTTTTAGCTAGTGTGAATTAACAATATTCGACATTTTTCTTGCTTGGTCCATGATCAAGCTAAGTCTTTTATCAACGGCACTGTAGTATTTCTAAATTTTACAGGAGCGATTTCAAAATAGGGACAAATGTAGAAATTGCTTAAAATACATAAAAGTACCTTCCAAAGCATGAAAAAGCATGTAAACGAATTGCACGACCAATTTCTTGCTTCATACTAGTATATTCAAGAGATTAATTGGTAAGCGATACAAACAGACAGAAAAATAAATTTAACGATAACTAATAATTTTATTGCATAATGGCCATGACCGGTTATGTCGCCCATCGGAAAAGATAATTGTTATACTAATTAACAAAGGAATCTTGACAAAGTTTGATTTATCAAGACATGTACAGTATATGAATAGGAGATAATTGATAAAGAAGTGACGACAATAACAACAATAAATAATTGAGGATTATTACTAAGAATGATAGCATGATCAGATATCTGTACAGGATAAAAATTGACAAGACGAAAGGATCGAACCTTATTATGTTACAGAT